CTTCGACGTGAACGATTTGGGAAGCTATGTTCGAACGAACAGCAATCAGGACACCGCCGCCACGAGATGGACGACCATACTTATATATGGGCAGTTCCGCCAAAAGGTCCACCAGGCAAAAAATCATAAAAAGTCAATAAAAAGCGATTTCTATATACTTTTTTCCGGATATTTTTTTCTAAATTTATTGAAAGGTAACTATTTACTTTATTCACATATAATTTCATTAACTTTCATCCTAAAACCTATGAAAATAAGCAAAAGTTCACGTTTTTGGTATTTTCTGGTATTTTTATAGACATTTTTTCTTTTACTATTATCTTCTAGGAAGAAGATGATTCTTGATAAAAGTTTCTCCTTAAAGTCTTTCTAATATATTAAACTACCCAAAATAATTATCAGAGTGTTTGTCCATCCTCTGCTAACAATATATTTTTAGGCTTTTATAATCGCGGAATTTGGTAACGTCACGCCAGTAACGTTCGCCAGATGCCTCCGCGGATTTTTAACAAAAAAAGGGGAAAAGTTTTTACATTTAATAAGTTTGAAGATTAACTCTCAATACTTCATTTATTAGCACAAAAAATGTTATACAGATAGCCCTATCCAATTCGCAGAGTTTCGCCATTTTGTACGCCGTCCTCGAAAACCACTTCTGTTTTATGTAACGCACTTTTAGGTCATACTTTGGCTTATATCTTCAAACCGTACGCTCGATTATTGCCATTTTTCTGGTGAATATAGGTCTAACCAAATTATATTCAACGAGGATAATCTTTTTTCCAAATTTCAGTTTTTTGACTATCTTTTTCAACATTTTGTCGTACGAATGTAACGTAACGCCATATGTTAAATTTGTCAATGAGAATCTCGGAGTCATAAATAGAGGAGTTGAGCCAGGTTTCGGAAAAAGCGATTACATAAGTCTCAAAAGATGCACTGTCAGTATATAGCTTATTAAGCTTACTGCCCAAGCCACGAGCATTCTGATTGGTTATATTAAGGGAAAATTATTAATTTATTATTCTTATTAATTTTCATAAATATAAATAAAATATTGTTCTCAAAACATTTTTTATTCACGGTGTCCGGCACGGGAGGCGTCGCCATCTGCTGCTGCTGATAGTCAGACAGATTACCTCGCCAATAAAATGTTGGGAAGCCCAGGATATGCCTGGGGAAGAGCAGCCCCAGCCGAAGAAGTGCATTTTATTAACTTTAAACAAAACCAAGTAGCGGTCTGAGCAGTGTAACCGTTCGGAATGCAGTGCACACCTCTGGTCACACACTGGCCGCTCGAAGAATATATGACATTTGTTTGCTGGAAAACAGTTTTTGGATCTGAGTACTAGGCTTTATGAAAAGTAAAAACATTACGCGAAACATAATTACGCTTGCGACCCATGTTAACAAAGCGATAAGAACGATCAAACCAAATGATGCATCAATGCAACTAAGCTTTGACTTAAGATAAGCTTTAGAAAAAGATAAGCTCATAGATATCTATGTATGTACATACTTATGCATGTACATACATATGTATGACAATCACAGTCAAGCGCAGTCACACGCACAAAATGAATACGAGCTCTTATCTTTCGGCGTAGCATTTACGAAAACATTAAATGCTGATGTCGTTGTTGAACTCACTTGCCGAGTTTTGCTAGCCACGTCTTTTACATATGTACATCTAATAGCACTAAGCAAATAGTTTATAATAGTGCTAAAACTGATACTGCTTAACGTAGCCAGACCAACTAAAACTAAAATATATATAAACATTAAATATATATGTAATAAACTAAATTTTTGTTTTCAAAAACATTTTTTCTCAAGAATTTTTTTTCATGAAAAAAATAGTTGTTATGGTTTGTCTTTTCTTACTGAGTAAGAATAAATATAATATTTTTATTTAGTCCGTAAGGAAAAGTCTAATTTACAACTTGAGTTGATTATTATTATTATGCTTATTTTTTGAGTTAAGTACAACTCAAAATTTATCATTATGTTATGAGTGAGTCATTAAAAATGAATCATTTTTGCACAATTTTTTTAAAAAACTTATAATATAATTATATATTTAAAAAAAAATTGTACAAAAATGATTCTTTTTATTGACTCATTTGACTGACAACTCCCGTCTTTGTTGGTGTATAATGTCGCTCGACTCGACGCGGCCCGAGGCATTTACGAAGCCAAAAGCAGAGGCAAATTCTAGCCTAAAAGAGAATGGAAGAAATACCCCGCGCGCCCGACGCAACATCAGCCCTCAAAACAAAACGAAAAAGCGAAATTCAGTTCAAGCGGCAAAAAATTGTAGAGCCCACACACAAGCATGGTATGTGTGAATATATGGCACACACACATTTACGTAGCCTGGAAACGAAACTCAAAACAAACTCAGAACGGTTTCGGAAAATAAAAATTGATAAATATTTTGTCGTGCCTGTGTACACACATACATTTGCAATTCTCGGCTTGCTTTCGCATCTCGTCATGAATCGAACATGTCGAAAAAATGCCGAACGTCTCAGGTCCGCTACCCGAACGTCTCAGGTCCTACAGCCGAAGACCTGGGGACCTGGGACAGAAAACTCAGCTGCGACACGTTGGTGTATGAGCTGGCACATCTATATACTGTATGGTTAGTGCCGCGACGTGTATGGTAGTTCTTGATTCCCGATAGAAGGCCTACTGACTCCCGTCTCTACGCCAGGCAGTGCCTTTTATGGATCGGCCGGCCTTTGATTTTCGAACCAATGTCTTAAAGATATCTTATTTCTATTTCGGAATGTCGGAAGGTTCTTATATAAATATATATTGCCAATCGCCTCCCAATAGGTGTCCAAGGTTTCAGGTGTGCACCGGTAAGGAATTTGAGGAATATTTATTTATTTAATATTATCATCGATACTTATTGCGTAAGCCCCCTTGTGCCGGTCTCCTGTCTTTTGGCATGTACCGAGTTTTGGTTTTTGCTGGGTGTTGATCTCGTCGTTGGAGAGCTTTGGTAACCATCCATGGTTCGTTACAGCATATGCCGGTGGATTCCGATTGAAACTTCAATGCATTGTAATGTTGGCATACGACAGACAATGAACCCATATCAATGCAGCGAAGGTCTTGGTAAGCTATTGCGCTATTGCAAAACTTCCATTCATTTACACAACGCAGGAGCACGTTCCTCTTGCGTTAGATTAATAGAGACATTCCGATTACTTATATCACGACGTGTACGTCGCCCAAGGTTTGATCGTCTAATAACTGGCATATTATAGCTCAATTTATGAATAATATCCCGAGCTTAGAACTAATCTTTGAATATGACAATTGCCGCTTCACATACTTAGCAGGCATTAATCAAGCGAATAACTCAATTGATGAATAATGAACTCATCCTCAATTATGACAATTGGATCTTCGCCTACTTCTATACAAGAAACAAATACAAAATCACTTTTTTCGCGATCGTAGGTTGGTTTTTTCCAAAATTTTTTTTTTAAATTAGTACATATGTTGAAATAAATCAAAACAAAAACAAATATGAAAAAAAAAAAAAATTGTAAGTAATTTGCAAGCAAAAACTTTGGAGTGTAAAAAATAGCGGGAAAATTTGATGATGTACCATGGAAATGTTCACTCTAAATGGTCACAGCCGACCGAATATTGAAAGCATACTTTTTTAAAAGCTATCGGCTGCCTAACTAGTGTGTTGGCAGTCGAATCCAACAAAAACATTTTGAGTTTATCGCATTTCAAAATTTGACTTTAATTCCGCTAGATAGGCTGTTTTGCCCAGTGTGAAGCCGCTCTCACGTAAAGATAGATATACTTATTATGTAACCTGCCTACCCCTCATAGCTTTTTCACACTGACGACCTTCGACCATCCAGTTCTGGGATGGTCCGTAAGGTTTTGCCGTTCCAAAAATTTCCCAGTTATTCCACCATCCAACTGGGATGTTCCTAATTCGAACGTTTCTGTGCGGTATTTTTTCGATAATTGTCATATGCAACCATAAATATTTGACATTCCCAAGAAAAAATGGGAATTCACTACGAGAATGTAAACAATGACAGATAGGAAAATGATAAAAAAAACAACAAAAAAAAAAACATCTGATATGTCAGAATTGTCTCAAGTACACAACTCGGTTTGTGGACTTTCCTCTGGGATCCTCTCATTTATGAATGCTGTGCAGAGTTGATGCAGGATATTGCACACGCTGTTGGCATTCCGACTAATCTATACTCTGAAAAAGAGCCCAAAGTATACTATGCTCTGGCTATACAAAACATTCCTTAAGAACGCCTCGTTGGTTTTGGGTACGTCTTTCTCCCAAAATGTCCCAAACCGCTTTTCACAAAACATAGAATATGTATTTGTATTTAAAACATTGATTGGATTTGGTAGAATCAGTCTAAAATGACCACGCTTCAGTGTTTTCAAAACAGATAACCATTCCAATAAATTCTCCTCGTCAATGTTAGCCTCATCATCATCATCCATGTCCAGCAACATGATTATCTTGTGCAAGAATATGTTTTCTGCTCAATCATATTCATATCCATTGTAATGTTATTTATATTCATTTTATTATAAATGTGAACAAATTTTCAGCGCACAGAATTGTGAGCATTAGCTGTTTCATTTTAATTATAAATGTGAACAAATTTTCAGCGCACAGAATTGTGAGCATTAGCTGTTTCTCATGGATGGTAGATGGTGTCAGTGTGAATCAGTGCTTCACATCTTTCAAAAATTCCCATCGTTCCCCCGGGATGGGCTCAGTATGCAGAGGGCATTATCAGTTTTTTTTTTTTGGTGCCAGTGGGATTCTGAGTTTCATATTACATCTGTAAAAAGTCTCACTGCCCCGCCTGGGTATGCTTTCAGAAGTTTCAGGCTGGAAACGTTATTGCATTGTCCCAATACCATAGTTCCAACTGCAATATAATATATCGACGATATGTCAGTGCTAGGAATTTTAATCAATCTCATTAAACCAACTTTGTTTTTATACTTTGTTGACGATGGGGCGAAGGAAATCTAAGAGAAAGCCGCCACCAAAAAGGAAAAATATAGAACCACTTGACCAGCAATTTAACTGTCCGTTCTGCAACCATGAAAAGTCCTGTGAAGTGAAAATGTAACTATCTCAGAATACGCCCGAATGTGTTTTTCAGCCATTAAGAGTAAAAACCTTGCATATTACATTATTGATGGGGTATACATATATTTTGGACTTGCTTTGTCCAAAGAAATGCCAAAGGGAATTTTAGGGCAAGTGGTAATGTAATCCATGCCGGAAATGACATCAAAATTCTGGTTTGGCCATGATGAATATTAGCTTTAATAGGAAAACGACTTAAAACGTCCAAATTCTGGTTGTGTCGAAACACCAAGGACATAAAGGACCGTGGAACACAAATTCAAACACACTATATGTACATATGGTTGTACATACATATCTAAAAAAGCAAATACCTGTCTGATATTCTGAGATCTTATAACATGGGTTTTAATTTATATTAAATTTCAAAGTTTTTCATTGACTTTCTTAAATTTAACATTACGGCAGGAACTATTACTCCCTTTACGATGTTTTTATTTTGAATGGCTTGAAATACCTGTGCAGCAATTAAATTTTTCATTTTATATCTTTCAGGGATAAAGGAAGAAACACAGCGAAAATAACTTGTCGAGTGTGTTTGGAAGACTTTCAAACTGGAATTAATTTTTTATCAGAGCCAATTGATGTTTATAATGATTGGGTAGATGCATGCGAAACGGCCAATTAATTTCAATAGCTCAAATTAAATTTAAACAATAATTGAACAAAATGACATTATATTTAGAAAAGTTTGTTTCTCCTAGGATGTTAGGAATAAACAGTAGAATAAAATATTTTATTGAGATATAAATAAAAACGATCCAATTCAATAACTTGTATCGGCGATGTACCATTAAGATAATTAAGGTAAGCGAAATGAAATACGAACTGTAGTAAAACAAATAAAAAAAAATATTCCAATTCTGAACACCTTAAATTTTTCATGTTTTTATTAGACAATGGGCTGGTTTAAAAAAATATTCACGACCATAGCGATCAGCTCTCCTTAAATTTTCTGGTAATTTTGCGTATAGCCTCCTGAATTTTGATTTTTAATATTAAAAATTCGATGTTTTATGGCTTAAATTTTTCGATTTCGAGTTGCTGGTTACTGAAGCATAGTAATCATTTATTATCGAGAAGGAACGTGTGAGTCGCTTCTCGGGTCAGTATATACATTTTTGAGCTTATGATTTTTTAGAATTTGAGAATTAAAAAAAAATTTGTTTGCTACATCTGTAGTAGATGTAATCTACTATGTATATTCTACATCTAACATGTATATTATACATGTAATATTTAGATTCTACAGATTTTCGTCCTTTGTGGGGGCGGGGCGAAATTTTGGAATTCACATGTAGCAGTGTGATCACATGATCAAACCAAATTTGGTTTCTCTAGCTCTTATAGTCTCTGATATCTAGGCGCTCATCGGTACGGACAGACAGACGTCAAATACAATATACCCCTTAAATCTTTTTGAGTACGGGTATAGAAACTGGCAGGAATTTTTCGTTTACGTTTTCCTGGCTTGAGTATCCAGCATCATGAGCGGAATTAACAGATTCACACTATCATGATAGTGTGTGTACTGACAGAACAGATGAAACCCAGCTCAGGAACACCATTTCATCATTTCCATGTCTTTTACATACTTTTTTATAGTTTTGCCGCTCACATTGTATTTTTTGATAAGCCCACGATAAGATTTAGCTGTGCGACCCACTATTTCAGCCTTTACTTTGGCTTTAATTTGAGACTGCTGTAATGGACAATTTTGTCCGGACCCCAGGGCCCTGCAGAGGCTCCACCATATTTTTTCCTTTCTGAACATACGAAATTTACTTTATAAATATAAGTTTTCTTGAAACCCATAGCAGAAAAGTAATGAACAATTTCATTTTTCGACTGAGATGGGTTATTTGCGCAATATGACTTTCGGATTTCCCAGCGCGATATTTAGTCGTCAAGCCCTTAAATTATAGCCTAACGTAAATCATCACCATTGTTCGTTATTTGCACTACACACTGTACATAAACATTGTTCTCGCATATGATTACGCACGGCAGCGGCAGTTCTTTCGTTTGTCTATACCGTCGTCTTTGCTTTGTTGTGGAATTTGCAGCATCTTAGCTGGTCTCTCGTGCTCCATATGACGTTCGTGCTTGGCTTAGCATCTGCTCAGAAAAATTACCGCGGATACGCATTTTTACTATAATAAAATGTTGATGTACATTATGTACATTATCGTCCTCCAGCTTCACAGCAACCACAAATAAGACATTTCTGCTTGCTTAAATACAACATTTGAAATTCAAACAGATTTCAGTTTGTAAACGAGTAGGAACGTGCGAGTCGCTTCTGGGGACGCGACTCTACTTATACCCGTATTCAGTCAGTAAATACATTTTTGAGCATATGATTTTTTAGAATTTTAGAAAAAAAAAAAAAAATTTTACTTTTTACATTTTTTTGCTACATCTGCTATCTACATCTACAACGTATATTCTACATCTAACATGTAGATTCTACATATACCATTACGATTCTACATCTTTTTCGCTAGAGGGCGCTCGCGCACTGAACGCGGCAGAGTGTGCGAGCGAGAAAGAGATAGGTTGTGGGTCTTTGGTAGGAGGGGGCGGAAGAACCAACAGAAAATTAATTTCTTCATACCGGCTATAATTATGATCCGATCTAATTCAGCTTCGGCAATCTGGTAGATATGGGCATTCTCTACGATACTGCGCTTTTAGTTTTATCGTATCTTAAAAAATGTGCCTGCCACAGATTTTCGTCCTTTGTGGGGGCGGAAAGGGGCGGTGCGAAATTTTGAAATACACCTGTAGCAGTGTGATATCACATGAGCCTGGAAACCAAATTGGGTTGCCCTAGCTCTTATAGTCTCTGAGATCTAGGCGCTCAACAAGACGGACAGACAGACATGGCTATATCGACTCGGCTATTGATGCTGATCAAGAATATATATACTTTTTGGGGTCGGAAACGTTTCCTTCTGTGCGTTACACACATCCACTTTTACCACAAATCTAATATACCCCTTAACTCGTTTTTGAGTACGGGTATAAAAACACAAAACAGTGAACCGTAGACCATGCAGATTGACCACTTTGGTTACACTGGGCACCGATCGGAATATATAGCACTTTCGTATTTCATTTCGCATCATTGTGGGCCAAAATTCGAAAAAATTGAGGGATTTGTGTGAAACTCTTTATACGGGGTTTTTTGGGTCGCTGATTTTGTATCAGATTCAAAATTCAATATGGCGTACGAAAATATAAAAGTAAGTCTGATTTGCTGAAAACTCGTTACTCAGAGGTAGTTGGAATTTAAATTTAAGATGAATTTTAAGCTTCTAATAATTTTTATTTATTTATTTAATTTTTGTTAGCATTTATTTTACAATTCAGTCATTTTAAACAAAAGTTAACTATTTCTAAACAGCGTTTCAGTTTTATCGTATCTTTAAAATTGTGGCTGCCACAGATTTTCGTTCTTTGAGGAAGCGGAAGATGGCGGGGCGAAATTTTGAAATACACTTGTAGCAGCACATGAGTCTGGAAACAAAATTTCCTCTAGCTTTTATAGTCTCTAATATCCAGGCGTCAAACAAGACGGACAGACAGACATGGCTCTATCGACTCGGCTATTGTTGCTGATCAAGAATATACATATATACTTTATGGGGTCGGAAACGTTTCCTTCTCTGCGTTACACACATCCACATCCACATCCAGAAATTTTTTTTTAAGAATTTTTTAATTCTGGTTGTTTAGAGGAGGATACCAAATGTATCACCTTTATTTACAATAAAACGTCACGAACAGATTATTATAAAAATATGTTTATTCTTGTCGATTAGGTCGATTAACGACGATTTTTCAGGTACGAGTGCTACGTCAAGACTCTGCTAAGGGCAGGCGGACCGAATTGCCCGTGCCCTAATACAAGCGAGAGAAAGATAGCTGAAGAGAGCGATAGCCAAGGCGAAAGAAAGAAGAAAGCTAGATGCATATATAAACCGCGATTCGTGTTTATATATGCGACGAGAGAAAAGTGCGAGAGACTGCAAGGGCATGCAAGTGCTGGACCAGATCATGACCATTGCGAAGGCATGTTAGGGCATACGGACCGAATTGCCCGTGCCTACGCTATGCTACGAAATAGAGAGCGAGAGAGTGTTCGAGAGAACGAGAGAGCTAAAATGATCGATAGAACGAAAGAGCGACAGAGCGAGAATGATTGAAAGGAGAGAGGCGCAAGACGAAAGAACGGTTGAAACGGCTATTACAGTGAGGGGGCGGGTGTAGGTACATGTTGATAACAATTAGGTACAGTGGGCAGTGAAAATAACGAACAAATAACAGGATTTACTTTAAGGCTGCACCACTGACTAAAAATACTAAATAATGCTCGGCTGGGAGACCGAACACTGATATTTTTTTTAAAGCTTTACGTCTTATTTAAACTAAAGTTTCATATTTATCAGATAAAGTCGGTTTGGATTCTTGAAAAAAAAACTGTTTGATTTTGTCGAGTAGTGTAATCAACGCTCCCTTCAACTCCTCGAATGCTGATAAATGTTTCTCCTGAAATTCAAACTTCACCTCTTTAAGCAATGAGTCGGACAGCGGCTTAGCAATTACAGATTATCCTTCCAGAAACCTACGAAATTATGACGTCAATGCTAGTAATCTTCGTATTCCCTTCTTATCGCGGAGAATCGGAAAATAAGCAACTGCTTGAGTTTTCTCATCAACGGGTTTGATAGTACCCTTTTCAACGACATTTACTCCAATTTATACGTAAGCCATTTCTCTCTGCTACTTCTAAAACTCTTTTCAATTTCAGCACTCCCTGTTCGATACTCTTAATTGCAATGATCACGTCATCCATGTATACAAGCGCATCCTCATTGTTGCCGACGAAATTTAAACTTAAAAGAGTAGTTCTAAAATTTAAACCATAACAGCCACGTAGGCGCATACGGCAACGCCACCATGCATAAGCACCACCATTCGGCAACTCTAAAACAGAGAGACAATTGAGGATAAACCAGCGAAGCAAGAACACAAAGTTTTTTAAAGCTCTCTCTTATTATTATTAATAAACTCACATAATAAATTGGAATGCTATATAAATTTGTCTACTCTCTATTGCTTCGAAATATTCAACACCAGTGCCTCAACATTTCTTTAAAAAACTTTAATTACGCACAAACAACAAACATAATCGTGAACCACGCTTGCATTTCAACAAATTGCGAAATACACAAGACGCTCGCATACACAAGTGCTACCACCGGATCTACCCACCTTTAACGGCAATGCGGAGGACTGGCCGATTTTCATCAGCATGTACGAGAACAGCTGCGCAGTGGCCGGCTTTTCAAATGCAGAAAACATGCTTCGGCTCCATAAGTTTCTTAAGGGCAAAGCTTATGAGTTGGTGCGTGATAAGCTGCTGCTGCCAGCATTAGTCCCAGAAGTGATCGATACCCTAAAAAGCTTCTTTGGGCCACCGGAACAAATCCTTGACCGTTTGATTGATAAAGCTAGAAAAATTAGACAAATTGGAATCTGGTATAGACTTTGCAATGGCAGTACGCAACGCGTGTGCAACTATGGAGGCCTGCAAATTAAACTCACACCTGGACAACCCCTTACTGCTTCGCGAACTCGTCGATAAGTTGCCCACTCAACAAAAGTTAAACTGGGCCATGCACCCACGCAGTGACGTCATCCCAGTCATCAAATCATTCAGCGATTGGATATACAAGTTAGCCGAAGCAGCATCCACTGTTATACCTGTACCAAGCTCAAGGTCCAGCACCATCAACACTCACGCACAGGTTCGCCATGGATTGGACAACAACGAAAACTCTCAGTCAGAAGACGATCAGCAACAACAA